GCAAGTAATAAACAAAACCGAAGTTTCCTCTTAGCTGTTTGGGAGATCCGGAGATCAGCTTTCTCTGGCGTGTGTGTGTGTGTGTGTGTGTGTGTGTGTCTGTGTCTGTGTTTTCCATTTGCAGCTGTGGCTACTGACGCATGTACTTAAGCCCGACGGGAGCCGTCCGGCATTTTACCCCTCTGTTTAAAAAATTGTGCAAAGAAAGCCCCGGAGTAAGCGAGTTTGAGTCTGAATCCCCAGGGCAATGGAAGATCGGCATGGGAAGCAACATTCCGTTACAGGTGTGCTGAAATAATTTCCTCTCCAGGGTAAGTGGACACATGCAAGGATTTGCATGGGAGGATTTTATTCTTTTTAAAAAAGATTTTATTTATTTATTTGACAGAGAGAGACCATAAGTAGGCAGAGAGGCAGGCAGAGATAGAGGAGGAAGCAGGCAGCCAGCTGAGCAGAGAGCCCGTTGTGGGGCTCGATCCCAGGCTCCTGAGATCATGACCTGAGCTGAAGGCAGAGGCTTAACCCACTGAGCCACCCAGGTGCCCTGCACGGGAGGATTTTAAAGCCTGTGGATGAGGAAGCTCTTGGCCTCTTACTCCATGCTGGTGTCCGAGGCCCAGGTCATCAGGTCTCGGCCAGAGGGGTGAAAAGTGGGACCAGCTCCCAGACTGCTTTGGCTAGGGAGGGGGCCCCCAGGAAGCCCCTTGGCCTGCTGAACTTCCTCCAGGCCAGACAGTACCACGTACCATGGTGAAGATGAGCTCCCTACCTCTCGCTGAACGTGAATGTGAGGGCGGCAGGATTCCCTTCTTTTTTATTGCCTTCCAGATGCTTGCTGACTCGGGCAAAATCGCTTAGGCAAGATGTGACTGGTGATGTATGAAATGAAAACTCCTTGCCGGGTGCTGGGAGGCCGGCGAGCGTGGGGTGTGGACACTCGGCTGGGCTGGCCAGATACAATGAGACCCCTCACATTTCCAGGCTGTCTTTCAGCCAGGCGAAGCCGGCCCCAGGTGTGGAGCAGACTAGGGCAGATCGGGTTACGGCGGGCCGGGGAGTCCAGCGCTAGGTGCCCAGCTCCGGGAAGCACAACTGGGATGGGGGCTGGGGTGCTGGCTGCTGGGAAATAAGAGAGCCCCAGGGAGGGAGGCTCCTGGGCCGTGGGGGGACAATGAGGGGGTCAGAAAGCAAGCATTGCGCTTTCATCTCCAGTATGGGCTCCCGCTCTGCTCTCCTGCTCTCACCCCTCACCCCTGCTCTGGATCTCATAGTCAGGATAAATGTACCTTTCTCTGCTTGGCCCAAAAGCAGATCATCATGAAGAATTGTGTTATTTTTAACTTAGAAGGCTTTCCTGTTAACATATTTTCCTTTTCATCCAGATGGTAACACACATTGATCAAATGCTTTCTCTGTGCCCCAGGCACTTTGTAAAGCCCTTGATGTGAATTGATTTCACTTCCAAATCCTCCTGGCAGCTCTGGGAGAAAAGGGACCCTAGGAGATGGGTGCTAATAGGCTCCGCTTATACAGATGTGGGAACTGAGCTCAGAGAGTTTCACTGTCTGAGACACGAGTCCAGGTGGCAGGCCTGGGGTGTGAAACCAGACGGACAGGCTTCCAGCACCAGGCTGCTAGCTCCCACCCGACTTTCTCTAAACAAAATCGGAGTTTGCCGGTGTCATCACACGTGTCTTGAAGCAGCGTCTGATGAATTCCCAGCCAGACAGTTGTTGCCTATTTGTTTGCATCCATCCACCCATTCAGTGATCAAGCAAGCCTTCCCTGAGGGCCTAGAGCAGTGCTGGGCACTCCTGGTCAGCGGGGGGATGGGGATGAGAAGAGAAAATAGGACACCCCCTCCCCCCTAGCATGGATTGCAGGAAAGATAAGCCTAAATGAGGCTGTGGGAATTCAGAGGGAACCTTATCTTGCCCAGGTCTTGGATGTTTTCTCTCCTTCTTGCATGAGAAAAGATGGCATCCCAGAGAGAAGGTCTAGGGGTGAGGGGTCTGGGAGACACCTCAGCTTGTGCCTACCTAGGAGGTGCTCAGCCGACAGTGCTCTGTAGGTATTGGCTGTGCTTCTGCTGTTTACTCATTCACTCAATGGGTACTTACTGAGCACCTGCTGTGTGCCAGGCTCCCTTGGGCTCAGGATGCAAGGTGAGGGGAGGATAATCCTTGCTTCAGGGCCTTCCTGTGGTTGAGGGGGGACAGGGTAGATGCTGGCCAACCAGTTGTTTTCATATGTAAATTAGTAGCACCAGTACCTGCTGCCCCTTCCCCCCTCCCGCAAATGCCCGTCACCACCACCACCACCCCCGCACCTCCCCCCTTTGCCCAGACTTGAGAGTACAAAGCAGAGAAGGTTGCTGCTTTCTGGAAGAGAGCAACCCCGCTTCATCCCAGCTGGTGCTGGAAGTGCGAGAGCAGTCCCAGAGACTTTGCCCCTGGAAGGCCAGCCCTGGGGCCAGTCTGGGGTCCCATTCCTGACCTGCAGGGCCCGCTGCTCGCTCTGCCTAGGATGCCTGTCCCTGGGAAAGCTGTCTCCCCTCAGCCTTCCAGGACTCAGGTCCGTGGTGTCCCCTCCAGGAGAACCCCTTCCCACTTCCCACCTCCCCTCCCTCACCCTGCTCATTTCCCATCTTCATCACAGGCCTAGAGGATCTGGGTTGCACCCTCAGCAGCAGACGCGGGAGGCCGGCTGGCACCCCTCGGGCTGCCCCCGCAGGTCCCTGTGTTAGCTTCCCACGCCCCATGACGCCCGTCTGAGTCTTTCTTCCCTGCCCCTCCCGTGACCCCCAGGCTGCCAGGCTCCAGTGGCTGAGCAGACCACCTCCTTCCCTGAGAGAAGTGAGGGACAGCACTGCCACCCCTCCCGCCCCGAAATCCCGATGAAGCTTCCTGCTTTGGCTCCTCTGGAGCGAATGTCAGCTTTGTCCGGCCGGCGGCCGCGAGGGCTCCCTCACCACGCACGGTGCTTGGCACCAGAATGGGCCACAGAATTTGCAGGGCCCTGTGCGAAAGGAAAACGGGGGCTCTCTGTTCACGGATGAGGAAGAGGGGCGATACTGAAGCAGGAGAATAGAAAGCCGAGTGTGACACCCTTCGGATCGTGGAGACCGGGGTGTCTAGGTGGGTGTTAGCCTGTGAAGCCCACTCTGCCTGCCACCCAGAAAGGACCGTGCCAAGTTCTGCTGAGGAGCTCACTGATAAAGGGCGGGTGGTGGGGGCTTTCAGACTGCCTCAGCTGACAGGTGGCCGGGGGGCTCGGGACCTGTTCCATCTGGAAGTCTGGGGTCTCAATAACACGGCGGGAAGATGTGATAGGAATGGCTATGACCGGCAAGCTCCCATGGCTCTCCTCGCCTGGCTTCTGGCCTCGCCTATCCAGCCACGTGGCCCCTCAAGCTGCCATCTTGTCCCAAAGCCCCCAGAGGGCCGCATGGCAGAAACAGCGCTGCTCCAGAAAACCCTAGAAGACCAGGTTTATCTTTACCAGTCCTGGAGCTTTCTCCCATCCCCACATGAGGCTTGGCCAAACTGCCCCCACCAACACTTATCTCCCCAGCTCAGCCCTTTCTCTTTCATCCCAAGCTGCCTGTGGGGCCCCTGCATCTAGCCCATCATCTGGGAACCCTGAGCTTGTGGGTTTGCCTCTTCGGGTCAGCGCCAGGAGGGGAAGGCGGCAAGGCTGAACTTGTACCCAAGGCCTCACGTGTGTTCTGGGGGAAGAGCTATTTTGCTCCCATTTTTACAGAAGAAGGCATGGGGCTCCTGAAGAACAGTGATTCACCTGAGGTCTCAGAGACATTCCCCTACGTTCCCGCCGCCAGTGCCCACAGCCAGTGTGCGCTGGGCTCCGAGGGGCTCCACAGGCCCGCAGGATGAATGAGTGCTGGGAGGGGAGACAGAGAGGCTGGCTGGGGAGGTCCCAGGCCCAGCCCCTCAGAGGTGGCCTGGATGGATGCAAGGGGGGCTGGGAACTCCTACGACACTGCCCGCCAGGGGCTGATGGGAAGGGCAGACCCAGGAGTGGGCTGGGGACAGGGTATGTAGGCTCAGGCTGAGGAGTGCTTGGAAATAAGCAGGGCCCACAAGGTGTGTGTGGGGGGCAAGAAATCCAGCAGTCCACACAATTTCAGTCATTTCTACAAATTTTGCAGTCCCAGATGCTACCGGGACCTGGGTTCAAGGCGCTGTGGTTGCACAAGAGACTGACAAAAACTCAGCCTGCGACCTCCGCCCCCCACCCCCACCCGTCCGGGGGTTCCTCCGTTTCCAGTGGGACACAGGATGGTAAGGAAGGCACGAATAACTCAAAGAGTAATTCCAGACGGTGAGGGAAGTTAAAGCAAATAAAACAAATGTGCGTAGGGGTGAGGAGGGGAGGCGACCTTCTCTCTCCTGGTCTGGGAGGAAGGGGCACCCGAGTGGCACCTGGAGGTGGAGGGTTGGCCATCGGAGCTAGGCAGAGATGGAGGTGGGAGGGTTTAAATGGAAGGGATAAAATTCCGGGCAGAACGAATGGCAAGTGCAAAGACAAGCTAGCGGTAAGTTCTGGGAGGCGCGGAGGGGTCCGCGTGGTTGGAGTAAATGGAGCGGTAGTGGTGCAAAGGGACGAGAAAGACTTGGGGTCATCTCCTCCGGGAAGCCTTCTCGGATTGCTGCGCTGCCTCCGCACTCCTTCAGCTTCTTTCCCTCGGCCAGAAACGAATCCCACGGGTACCACTCAGGCCTCCTCCCTGTCCCGACTTGAGTCCCGAGAGGGCCGGGCGGGCTCGGATTCCTCCCTCCGCATCCCCGCGGCATTCAGCGCGGCGCTGGGCACCCTGTGGGCACTCGGTAAATATTTGTAGAGCGCACTAGAAGGAATGAATGAACCCATTGGGCGCAGCCGGGAGGAGGGCGGGGCCGAGGGCAGGTGGGAGGCCGCGGGCGCGGGAGGGGCCCCTGGAAGCCCGTCCTCCTCCTCCTCCTCCCAGGCCCCAGCGCGTACCAGCCTGGTGCTTCGGAGGCGGCCTCTCGTGCGATCAAGGGCGCGCGCGGCTGGGAGAGCGACTCGGGGCCCTTGTTCTCCGCGCGGGAGTTCGGAAGAGAGTGGGTCACCGCCGCCCGAGGGCGAGAGCGCGAGCGGCGCGGGAGGAAGGAGCGCTCGCTCGCCTACCGCCTCGCTGCCTCCCCGGCGCTAGCTCTCCCGGCTCCTAGGTTTGCTGGCTGCTCCTCCCACCCGCGCCCTCCTCCTTGCTCGCTCGCTCGCTCGCTCGCTCCAGCCGGTTTCTAAGCCCCGCGGTGCGCCCGGGCCACTGCCGGGCTAGGGGCCCCGTGGCTATCGCCGAGCAGGGGGCGGGGGTCCGGGCAGAGCGCAGCCGGCCGGGGTGGGGCCATGTCTGGCGCGGGCGCAGCGGGGCCCGTCTGCAGCAAGTGACCGAGCGGCGTGGACGGCCGCCTGCCCCCCTCCGCCACCTGGGGCGGCGCGGGCCCGGGTGCCGGGTGCCCGGAGCCCGGGTCGCGCGTAGAGCCGGCGCGATGCACGTGCGCTCGCTGCGCGCCGCGGCGCCCCACAGCTTCGTGGCGCTCTGGGCGCCCCTGTTCCTGCTGCGCTCCGCCCTGGCCGACTTCAGCCTGGACAACGAGGTGCACTCGAGCTTCATCCACCGGCGCCTCCGCAGCCAGGAGCGGCGGGAGATGCAGCGCGAGATCCTCTCCATCTTGGGCTTGCCCCATCGCCCGCGCCCCCACCTCCAGGGCAAGCACAACTCGGCGCCCATGTTCATGCTGGACCTGTACAATGCCATGGCGGTGGAGGAGGGCGGCGGGCCCGACGGCCAGGGCTTCTCTTACCCGTACAAGGCCGTCTTCAGTACCCAGGGCCCCCCTCTGGCCAGCCTGCAAGATAGCCACTTCCTCACCGACGCCGACATGGTCATGAGCTTCGTCAACCTCGGTGAGTGAGGGCAGGAGGGGGGGAGCGCCTCGGTCAGGAGGCGCTTCGGGACCGGGAGGGGGCCGCTTCTTACATCCAGCCCGCCCATCTTTACACTCCGGGGCCGTTTGCAAAACCGCAGTGCCTGGCCGAGGGTGTCCTACTCCCAGCCCCAGGGGACCCCAAGCTGAGCGCGCCCCAGGTAGGGCGAGCAGGGCTCGTTTGGCCTGTGGGAGTTCCACGGAGGAAAGGGCTGGTCCAAAGCCCCCTCCGGGTTAAGTCGGCGGCCGCACCTCTGGGGCTGGAGGCGCCGGGCCGGCCGCGGCTCAGTTCAAAGCGCGGGGCTGGGTCATGTGAGCTGTGCCGGGCCGCGCGGCCCCTGCTACCTGGATTGAAAGGGCCCTGCTGGGCGAAGCTGCCTTCCCGCCCTTTCGGGGCCCCTCTCAGCCCTGTCTGGAACTGGCATCGCAGGCGTCGCGCCCCCTTCCCCGCCCGGGCCAGCCCTACCTGTCCCCTCGCGGTGCGCCCGCCTTAGCGTGCCGCGTGCCGTCAGTGTCTCCGGGCCCCTCTCCTTGCGACCGGGCGTTCCCCCCCCACCCCCCGCCCCCGGCTCTCATCTCTCCTGGCTGGGGAAGAAACGGTGCCATTGGGAGCTTTCTATTTTAAATATTTAATGATAGGTCCCAGGCGGGCAGAATCCATTTTCAGCGTTTATCACGTGTGGCGCTCAAACCACGGCTTTCCGCGATGGAGTGGCGCGGGATCCCGGAGCAGACTCTGCCGGGGGCGGATGGGGGAACCTAGCTCACTCCCCGAGCCACAGGGGCCCCGGGGACCGGGGGCTGGCGCTCCAGCAGGGGCGCGGTGGCTCCTCCTCCCTCCGCGCACGCACATTCACCAGACTTGCTCTAACTAACCCCCGGCAGCGCGCTGTAGGACTGATGGTCAAATATTTGGTTTCCGAGATAACACGCCCCGATAGCGCTGTTTCCTAAGCCCATTTCGTTCTACGTGTGTAACTTGCTGCGAAAATCCGAACGGAGTCGAGACAGCAAACTCACGCCCACGGGCGCCGCGTTAACAGCGCCGGGATATTGAAGCCCCCAGTTGGGGGGCTTAGGGCGTGGGTGGAGGCGCGGGTAAGCCGGGGATCAACCCCAAGGCTTCCAGCCCCAGATAAGGCCCGCTGGTGCCCGGGTCGCCATTGTCTGCCCTTAATAATAGTCAAGAATCAAATAGTGCAACGGGTTTCAGAGAGCAAGGGGTGGGAGGTTTAGATGCCAAAATATCTTCAAGAAAGTTTAAATTATACTAAGCAGCCAGCTAGAAGGAGGCAGCTCCGTATGTCCCGATTTAGAACAATCTCTAAGATGTATGAAGTGGAAAAAAGCAAGGTGCAGATCCGGGAGGTTACGTATGTGCTTGCAGATCATCTGTTCCCACTGGAAGAAGGCACCGTGAACTGGAAATAGATTTTACTGGGGGGCGGGGCAGGACCGGGGCTGGGGCTTGGGAGTGGGAGCTGGGGTCTGAGTTTTTCATGGTTTGCACTTTTGTCTGTGATTTTTTTTTTTCACAATGTGTATTTATGACCTATACCAGAAACTGAAGAAAAATTCCAAATCTGTATCTGTGTACCTATGGATATGTGTGTGTGTAAATTAAAGCAGGGCTCTGTAGCTGTCCTGAAGCCCATGGTTCCCCCCCACCCACCCCCCGCCCACCCCAGGCCCTTTCTCTGGTGAGGGATTTATGGTATCTTCTGTTCTTTTGGGTACCCGTGACTCCCAGTGAATGTAGCAGGTCCCAGTGGTGGCCTTCAGAGACAGGCTGGGGTCATTAAAAAGGCATTTGTGAGCCCTGGCTTCTGCTAACCCAGGGCAGAAAAGCACCCTGCTTCTATGGACCAGCAACGTGGTCAGGACTTCCTCCCCCTGCCCCACCACTACCCCCAGCCCAGAGCAGGAGAACGTTGCTAACTGGGTATCTCTGGGAACCTTGGGGCAGCATTGTTTGCTCCCCCTTGGTGGTGGGAGCAAGCCGGGACTGGTTTGGGAAGGCCACAGCCGGGTGGTTCTCCTCCTTCGGCTGTGCACACACCTTTCAACCCGTTAGCCCCATTTCTTTCATCTTGAAAGGACAAAGACCAGCTTGTCTGAGCCTCTTAATCAGTTCGGCTGGCTTTGGGCTTTGTGGGACAGTCCTGACTTTCTCAGGTCTTGCTTTCTGGAACATCACTCCAAATTAGATGGCGCAGTGGCTTTTAACAGAGTGCGCTGACCTTGTTTTCTTTCCCGCGCCGTCCCTAAAACTCGAGGTAATTAGTTGGGGGAAGACCTGGCCTGCCGTTTGGCAAGACTCTGCCTGCAGATCCTTTAAGGGTGGCCTTTCATTTCTGCTTGGCACCAGCGCGGGAGGAGTAAACTGCCTGTCCCCTCCATTCTGTCCAGGGCTGGGGAGTTTCTTCATAGGAGGGGCCTGGGATGGGGGTGGCAGTGGGGGTGGAGGGGAGTGTGTAGGAGACCAAGGAAGACCCAGGAAGATAAGTTTGCTGAGGAAGCACACTGTTTTTCCTTGGGTTGCAAATCATAATTGCTCTGTAACATACAAAGTTTTCTAAAAGTGCATTTAGTCTCACACTTTATCCAATTATAAGAAAATGTCATTCGTCCCTATCAGATCATCACTTGGTAACCCTCGCAGGGGCCCTGGGGCGACTTAGTGGGGGGCTGCTGGCTCTCTCCACTGTCCCCCTCCTCCCTCCATTGCATACCGATGCTGTCCTGCCATGCTTGGGGGACCTCTGACCAGATCCTGAAGGCTTTTGCAGACCTGGTGCGTTGATTCTTCTTCTGTCTGCAGCCAAACTGGTTTTTGTTCCTCTAAGTCGTTCTCCTTGGAATTCAAGCTTTCTGCCAGGCTGAGTGGGATCTAAACTAGAGAGGGAGCTAGAGGAGAATATAGGGCAAAACCAGATGCCCCAGCTTCTGACAAAGACCAGCTTGTCTGATGAAGCCCCGTGTGATGCTAGCTGAGTTACGGAGGGGGACCCACATCTTCTCAGCCGGGGCCCCTTGGGTTCAATGGCGAGATTTGCAAACTGCTTTGGATTAACAAGCCCCTGACTCTTCTGTGTAGACTTAATTTTGGAATTCGAAACAGGCTACCCCCTCTGAAATTGTCCCCAGGCAATGTGAGTTCTGCAGACGGAATCCGCCAGAGCCCCCTCCCACTTTCCCCCCTCTGGAGAAATCCTGCAGCTCTTTTTGGAATCTTCAAAAAGCAGCCGGCTGGCATTAGGGGTGTGTGACGCGTGTTCCTCTCTGGCTCAGGTTATGAAAGAACCAAATTTGTTTTAATCTTTGAAGTTCAATTAAAAAAAAAGTTGGAAACCGGTCATTATCAGACTCTGTATAAAAGTGGCTTTTGTTAACGTAGCTGGGGAGCAGGGAGAAGGCTGTGTAGTTTTTGCTTTAGACCGTCTGGCTGTCCGTTTTGTTGACAAGTGTTTGGCATGAAGATCTCTCCTCTTGCCCCTTAAGAACAGGCCCTACCACTGTAGAGTATTAGAAAAAGATTCTGTTACAGTTTAAAAATTTCCTTCAGGGAGTGCTTCGTGAAAGGAGCACTGGGCTGCAGGCATTTGCAGCTGTAACCTGGCTTGTGTTAAAATTTGGAAGGGGCTGTTCCACATTCCAGCACTTGGAGCAACGGCCCTCACTGGTAAGCAGCCAGAGGTTAATACAGATGTCACACAGGCTTCCCCTGCTTGCTTGCTTGCTGCAGAGTGCCTACGCTCCAGCGAAGAGAGCCCCAACAGCTGTGTTTTTAGCAACCCTTTCAAAATCACTCCTTTCAAACCTCATTTTCCTGGTTCTTAAATCAAAGATCTTCTCCACACACCCCCTCTCCCCCCGGACCCCGCCTTTTCCCAAGGATATATCTGACCCAGATTTGAACTTTGTTGGTCTTCTTTGTACTTCCCTTCTGGAATCGAAGCAGGTTAAGGCCGAGCCCTGGATGCCAGCCTACGGGACTATTTTTGGTTTTTATTCCAAGGGCTCTCGCTGGGTTGTGGGGCGGTCCACCCGAGGTGTAAGGGAGGTGGCCCAGGTAAAGCTGGATTTCTGGGCAGTAAAGGGACGATTCTGTGAATGCCCAGAGAGAAGCGAGCCGCGGTCCAGACCCTTTTATCGCCTAGTAGGGCTATCAAACACAGCGGGGGTCCGATCCCCTGACCGCGGGGATGCCTGCGATATGAGCGAATGTCACATGCCTGCTGCACTCAGAGTCAAGTGATGACTTCATTCCGGGGAGAGTCCCATCTAACTTGATTGATCACCCCTATCGCTTTAATATCTTTTTTTTCCCCTGTTGGGTAAGGTCATCTTTGGCCCCTTGCAAGAATCGGCGTGTCCTAACGCTTCCCCAGTCCCCACCCTCCGCGGCCTGCCCAGCCGTTTTGCCGGATGAACATGGAGCATGGAGAGCCCGAAGGGCTGGCCGTATTAATTTTTTGGCCATCACTCTTCAGACCTAGCTGGGGGCTGTCGACACACTGTTTCTGGCAGGCTGCTGCGACGCTTCGCCGTAATGCGCGCTGGCAGTGTCTGCGGGGTTAGGGCGCAGGCAGGGATGTGTGGGACCTGTCATGTCATTGTCAGAAGGAATGCGAGGATTAGCCTTTAAAACGTGGTGGTGGGAGGGCGCTGCAGCTGTGTACACTTATTATAAAAGACTTAAGTCCCACTGGTAAAATCAATATATTGAGTTGCACGACCCTCTGCTTTTAATTAGTTTGAATCAAATGCGCCGGTGCCATTTTGCCTCCTCTCGCCTTCATGGGGTGAGGAAATACCAATATTTACATAGAAACTGTTAATTTGTGGTGAAAATGATAACACATTTAGCTCCACACGCCCGAACTGCTCGGACTGGATGGATCCCAGAGCAGCGTGGCGTTGCGAGGTGACGTCCCCGGGGCGCGGGAGCAGGGGCGGGGGCCCCGGGAATGCGGGTCC